ATATTTAATCTTTGCTAACAGGGCTTGCCCTTGCAAAGTTCACCCAGACCCTAGCATTGACTTTACAGCATATCCCTAGTACTTTAGTATACCTCTGTTTCTGACCTCAGACTCCCAATTCAGATAGCCTAGTAGAACTGTGACCTGTTCCTGGTACCCCAGGGTCTGCCCTCCAAGGTTTTTTTCCTCCGGTTCAAGACTTCTGATGATCTGGTTAGTAGTATCCCTCATCCGAGGTTCTTGTCCACTCGATTTCTTCTGTATTGGTATCTATTTTCTAGGTCTAGTCTTTACAGTAGTACTGGTGAAGATCTGTGTTACCTCTCTACTTGGGTCTTCCCAAGTGGGCTTCAGTTATCCTAGTTCACGGATTTACATGGCCACAAATGCCTCATGACCTGCCAGATATTTGGTGTGACCATGTTACAGATACTGATCCCAACTGATCGATAGATAGCTGTTGCCATATTATTGGTTTCAAGGACCTATCTTGTGTTTGCACTGCCCAATGCTGGTTTGCATTTCTCTGTGTAACTTCAACATTGCACAGATGCCTGTATACACCGATATAACATAGGTGGTTTTCCAAATTTTTGCTGTCAATGGGTTTTAAACTCTCAACCTACCACTTGGGGGTTGACAACTTATCCACTTCACTAAGTTGCCACACCTCTTAATACAAATCTTTAATGATACTACTATAAAAACTAGATCTTGTAAACAGATACCAATATGAAGAAGCTAGATAGGCAAGAACTTAAGATAAGGGGTATTATTAACTAGGTCATCAGAACTGAACCAAAGGAAAAGGATATCAGATCAGCTCGATATACCAAAAACAGGTCATAGTTTCACCAGACTATCTAAATTAGAAGTCTGAAGTCAAAACAAAGGTATACTATAAGTACTAGGAATATGTTATAAAGTAGGTGCTAGGGTTTGAGTGAACTTTATAAGGGCTAATTTTGTTAATGTTCTATAGAGTAGATAGGTAGTTAATAAGAAGATACCTCAAAATCTTACAGTTAGGTAACATATTCTGAAATGTTTAACAGCTTGACAAATATACAAAAGGAGATGACTAAATGTTGAGTTAAATGGCATTTAGTTATATAGAAACCAGGTATTACTTGTCTGAGTGTAGTATAAGAATCAAAGTATTTAAATAGGTACTCTTCTAGTAGGTTACAGGCATAGCAGTTAGTGTAAAACCCTTGGGCGAACTACTTAAAATAAGTAATCAAAAGTTACATGTATAGCTAGTAGTACATTTACCTTGTACAAGTTACATATAATGCATTGACCAAAAACACAAATAAAGGCAATAGCTACTAATAACATCAGCCTTAATAAAAAAAAAATTTTATTATTAATATATTTTGTAGTTATTATATAAAATTTTTTTTGCAACTAATTATATATAGAACTGATCTACATTGTTTTTTTTTTTAAAATATTAAAGTGAGTATTTGTGACCCAGAATTTTATTAATAATATATTTGGCTAATAGATGCTTTATAACTACAAAGGGCAACTATAAGAAGAGTGTACAACTAGTCACTTATATAACTTCAGCTATTGTCTATTTTAAGTAGTCTGCCTAAAGGTTCTACACTAACTGTCATACCTGGAACCTACTTGTAAGTTCTTTATTTAACCATTCTGTTTCCATATCCATCTACCTATTTCTGCCTACCAATGACTTTGACTAATACTGATAAAAATATAACATGGCCATTAAGTCTTTAAAGTAGTTCACTTATATAAGGAACCTTTGACCTTGTACTAAACCTTTCAAAATCTTCTGTATTCCATTCTTACAACTGACCTGATATCACTATAGCTGAGACCAATACTGGTAATTAGTGCATATCATTAAACTGATATACTCTTGTAGATTTCATTCTAACTCTGGTACTAACTTCACAACATATCTCTACTATTTTAGTATTCAATTCAAGTTCCATTAAGCTGCCAAACCAAATAGCCTGGAAAGGCAGATTGAAACCATACATTTCTGGTTTATATGTTTGCCAGCATATAATCTTTTTTTCTAGAATTTGGCAATTCTGATAGCCTGGTTGGTTTATCTGATTCCTCCTTAAAGACCAGTACATTTGTCTGATTTCACAAGTTCTAGCTCTGTTTTATAGGTTTAGTCTTTACAGTAGCACCATTAAAAGTTCAGGTTACCTCTCTACTTAAGTCTTTCAAGTGGGTTTCTATCTTTCTTTTTTTGATTTTTATAATTTATATGGTCACAAGAACTTATTGTAGGTTTGCACTGCCAGGTACCATTTTGCATTTCTTTATATAATCACAAATCTTGTTTCAAAAAACAATATCATATGACTGTTATACAAATGCCATATGACCTGCTAGTCATGCTGGTGTAATATAGATAACAGGTGTCTTATTTCAACCAATTATGTGAGACAGTTAACTGTAATATGGAAAAAATTTTAAAATTTTTTGTCGATACTGGGATTTGAACTTTGGACTTGCTACTTGGGAGTAAACAACCTAATCACTTTACTAAAGTACTATATCTTTATAATCTATATTGTACTTTATTCTTAAATTGATAAGTTAATAATATTTACAATAAAAGATGAATTAAAATAAGTTAGTTAGTATAAAAGAAATCAAAAAGATTATATAAAAATAATTAGATAAATATTGTAAAAAAAAAGTATATTGGTAGTTGATTTAACAGATCTTTAATTTTAAAAACTTTGAATTGGTTAAGTTTGAAGCTAATAAAGTTAGATGAAAGTTTTTAATTATAATTAAGATATAATTATATAAATTATTAGTCTATGTAGTGATTAATATAAGTCTATTCATTGCTTTTTTTTTGTAAAAATCATATTACTAATATATATATTTTATAGATATTATTAATAAAATATTAAATAAGAAGTTTAATAAAATTTTGTTCTCATTATAAAATATAAAAAGAGTTATAAATATTTATATATTAGAAGTTTAAGGTAAAGAAAAAGTATATTGTTTTGCTAAAGAGTTAATCATATTATTAAAAATATTATTTATATGAACTTAAACTTTATGAAAATTGATATTTAGATTAAAAGATTTAATAATATTAAAAAATATATACTATAAAGAACATATATTAAGTTTAAAAAGTTTATTAGTATTATTAAGTTGAATAAAAAGTTTGTAAAATTTAGAGATAATAGATTGTGAATCAGTATAAATTTAGAATGTTGTATTACAAGATATAATTGAGATTGTTAATAAAATAAAAAAGAACTTTGTCTTATAGACTGATAACCAAATATGAATTTTTAACTGAGAATTTGTAAAAAATTTGATTGTCACTATTGACTTGAACTCATCTAATGATCATTAAGTTTTATTCAGTTCTAATATTAATCACTGATCTATCTGTATAGAAAATGAATTCCTTATATAGTGAATTGTTTTGAAAATTTTATTAAGTATATTTGAGCAGTCATTAGCTTTAAAGATTTCTGAGATAGTTGAGTTTTATATATTAATAGTAAGGTAATTGTATTAAATTTGTGAAAAATATTTAACTGCTATTGAGTAAATAAGGTCCAGATAGTTAGCATTAAGTTTGAGTTTAGAGGTTTTTCCAATCAGGGAATTTGTGAAAAAAAAATTCAAAGGTTTAGAATAAAATAATATATATTGCGACTGATGTTGAAGCTTGAGATCTCGATTTGAAAATATAAGCTCTAACTAAAATCCACGCATATCATATCTTTTTATTCACGTTATTTAGTTATGTATAAAAGTCTTTTTAACCAATACAATAAAATTTTATAAATTAGTTAAATTTGTGAATGTTGTAAAAAAATAATTGCGTATTAAAGTAAGCTTTTTTTCATTCACAATAATTAAAAAAAAAGCACACGTTTATTTTTATTTTTATTAAATAATAAATTCATACGTATTTTATCGGCAGAAAATCACATGTAAATCGCAAAATAATCCGGTTAACATTTTTCTGGATGACGCTAGGATTATTTAGGTGGCACGTTAAAAGCATGTGAAAGATTCGCGAGCTTACGAATAATTACCCGTGCCAAAAACCGCACAAATTGGACAAGTAAATTTCGCAAAATCTAAGTTATTTACGGTCCGATATGCACTGATACTCATAGACAGAAGTTCGTCTGATTGGCTAATAAATTCAATTTAATTTTCATTATTTATACAGTTTAGAGTACTTTTTAAAAAAACGAAAACCAACCATAATAAAGTAAAAAAAAAGCATATAGAAGGTTCATTAGAGTTGTAGGACTCCATAGTCAAAAATAAGATCTAATTCTCGTCCGTTTAAAAAAATTAGCTTTGTAATAAGTTGATTTTATCGGGTTTTGAGAAGTTATTGCTATACTAACTTTTTTAAGCGGACGAGAATTAGATCTTATTTTTGGCTATGGAGTCCTACAGCTCTAATGAAACCTTCTATATGTTTTTTTTTACTTTATTGTGGTTGGTTTTCTTTTTTTAAAAAAGTACTCTAAACTGTATAAATAATGTAAAATTAAATTGAATTTATTAGCCAATCAGACAAACTTCTGCCTATGAACTGAACAGCGCCCATATATATTCTATTTAAGCAAAAAGATTTTAAAGTAATAAGCATTATCTTTAGAGTTAGTATTAAAAATAAGAAAGAGCATAATTTTGACTAAAATCTTATAAAGAATTTTTTTTTATTAGAACGCCGAAGGCAGTTTCATAGGTAAAATTTCGAGTTAATAGCGATTTTTTTAAAAAAGATGTGATTTTTACGTTACACCTGGTCCTTCAATATAATTGGCTGTAATCACGGCCGGGAAAATTTTTTGTGGGTGAGCTACTAGCCAATCATGATTAGTCCGATGATCTGGATTAACAACCAATTAAAACAAAGAAAAAAAAAAGTTTTTAGACGCGTGAGATATAGCATGGTCGAAATTTTAGGCGCGATTCAGTTTACCGAAAAAGTTTTTCAGTAAAAAATGAAGTGTTTTACTGGTGACGAATCTGGACTAGTTAAAGGTCAATAGACTTTAGTGTAAATTTTAAAGCTTTACAAAAGAAATTAACCTGACTTGAAATCACAGAAATTACTCTACCAAAGACAACAATTGCTATCCCGACGGCTTCGACTTCGACTTCTTCCCAAAATGAGACAATTCCCCCGATTTCAACCTGGGGAGAAGCTAAACGTGACCTAGGTATACAAATGATGTGTCACGCGAAGATTTTTGGGGAACAGAAACAGGTTGAAATTATTAATTGAATTATCAATTCCAATGTATCATATTCGGTTTTTTATTTACAATTTATTTATTGGATGACTTAGATCGTAGTTGCACGTAGAAATGGTTTAATACAAATCCTTGATCCGTATAATGGAGGCAAAGTATGTAAAGAATTCACCAATGAGCGTGTTGCTGCCGATAAAAAGAAAACTAAAAATACGACGTTTGTTGGTTTATATGCAAATGACAAGTAGGTTTATCATATAATACCATAAGTTCAATCATATTTTGCTTAATGTGAGATTAATAAATTCATTATTATCTATAATGAAAAAATTATTAAGCATTTTAGTGACATGCACTAGTACTGGTAATATCAGATATCAACCCATCGGTGGTAAAAATGTAATTATATTAATTTTAGCTTTTGGTGATTTGATAATAATTATTGAATTCTTTTAATTCTTTTTTAAGGATTCAACTATAGATAAAAACATTACTTATGAAACGGACTTGTGTCGTCTGAGAGTGCACCCAAAAGAAAATAATATATTTGCGTGCGGCGGAAAGCAACGTGATTTAACCTTATGGGATATAAACGCCAAGGAGGAACCAATTTTTACAAAACGTAAAGGGTGGTGGGAGAATGGGATGATCTGGATGGCGAAAAACATAAGATGTGACCTTCTAACTGTTCACTCGCCTGTTTGGGTTACTGATATACAATTCTTAAGCGAAGAGGAGAAATCAAAGATTGTAATTGGAACGAGGTATCATCAGGTAAATAAACGATATTATTCGATTATTTCTAACATAAATAATTATTATTAATATGGGTTTGATTATATCTATGAATAGATACGAATATATGATATTAAAGCGCAACGTCGACCAGTGTTTGAAACAAGTATTGGGCATAAATCGGTGGTATCGCTAATTTTAGGGCGAGATCCAAAGTATTATCTTCGTGTTTTTGGTGTATGTACAAAGTTATGTATATATAATTTTCTCAATTGGTTTTTTTTTTGATTTATTTTTTTTGCAGCCATATAATCTTTTCGGATACTGTTGGCAATGTCTTCACCGTGGATATTAGGAATGGTATGAGTTAATTGTAACTAGATAAGTTGGATTGAAATTTGTCAACTATTTATTGAGAATATATTATAAAATTTCCACTTACTCCTATCATATTTATAGGAAAAAATATAGGACAATACAAAGGTTTCAACAAAGGTTTTATTCAGTTATTCATAGTAGTCGTTTTCATAAACTTATTAGATAAATAACCTTATATAAATTTTTAAGGCACCGCTGGCTCAGTGACTGGTTTGTCAATTGACGATAAATCTTCATCTTTGGTTAGCGTAAGTTTGGATCGATTCCTACGCGTTCATAAAATGAATCAAGAGCGTGAATTGGTGCACAGTGTATATCTAAAGCAAAAACTCACAGGCTTGATTGTTGATGATGCTGAAGGTATGAAATTTGTTGTTACATTTTTTATTAAAATAGTATCCTAAGATTGTGTTTTATTACAAATAAAAGAAACTCAAAGCGAAAAACATAGAACCAGATCTGAGTCCGACACAGACGATGAAGATTGGAATCAGATTAAACCACAAGCCAAAAAACGAAAAACGATTTAGAATATTTTATTCATTTTATTTTAGCATCTATAAATACTTCATGATAGAATTTTAAATTGAATATATAGTTATTGCTCAAAATCCTTTGTCCATTAGCCATTTCTTCAATGCGAAGCAATAATCGCCTTTTATAACCACATTATTGTTTGTATGATTAATTGTAACTTTGGAACGAGTAGAGTGATCCTTTGGGAAAATATCTTTCTTGATGTCATCACGAAGTGCCTACATTTATAAATAAACTGGATCTTTTTAATCATAAAAATTATATAAATTGTTTAATATTTATAAATTACCTGAATATCGCCTTCAATTCTTCTTAAAATAGTTAATATTCGTGTTCTTCCGTTTTTGAGATCAATGTACACTGGTAATGACTTGTTATTTGTACGATGGATATAATAAGGATATTGGACATATTTTATTATAGGGTTAGCTAACGTTGTTAAACGAGACCCTTTTTGCATGATAGAATGAAAGTCGTTTACGTGATGAATTGGTGAATGCTTAATAACAAGATTGAAATTCGTTTTATTGGCTGATCAACAATAATTCTGGTTGGCTAATATTAGTAATTTTATATCCGTTACACCAATACACTAATGAATAAAAACTATCAGTTATTTCGATTTAAATGATAGAAATAATGTGTACAGTAGTAATTTTTTATTACGTGACAGAATCATTTCTAATAAAAGTTGGTGAAACATTCGGCCTCATTTGATCTTGGATGTTTACATGAAAACACGGCTTAAACATTATAATTTATTTGGTTAATAAGAAATCAAAATGAACCTCTGTTATGCTTAACGGATAAACTTGATGAACTGAACTCAAAAGTTCAATGTCACATAATGCTGAATTATCATGATATTGGACGAAATTTTGACGTGAGATAAAACTACTGATAAAAAAAAGTTCATGCACGTTGTATGTAACCTACGTAGAATTTGAGTAGTAAGTAAAATTTTATTCGTTAATCACTGCCGGTCTTAACGACTTGGCACTGGGGTGTGACTATCATAGGATAAGAAAAATAATAATAATTTATTATAAAGGTTCCAGTGGATGCATCTATTTGCGGGTTTTTAAGAATTAGGGTTAGTGTACCCGTATTAAGGTTATGTTAGGTTAGGTTAGGTTAGTATAAATGGTTTTTATAAGTAAATTTGCCTTTCTGACACGCTCCACAATAGATTTAGACTGCCGTTTCCCTTTTGCGGTTTTCACTTTTTTCGCTTTGTTTTGCTTCGTCGGGATGATCAAAATTTCTCTATTTGATTGGCCAATCATCACGTGTTGATGCGCAAATAGATGCACTCTAATTCTAGCCAATCATGTAATTTTGGTATCGGGTATATTAAAGATAATCTGTTGATCACATGTGTAAACATAAACATTTTACACACTTCAAACAACAGAAACAGTAATGAAATTAAAAGATGGTGAATCAACAGGATGGATAAAGGTTATAAAAAAACCAACTTCGAAAATGAAAGTAGCAAGTAGACGTGTTACTGCCAAACCGCGATCCAATAACCCTGTTGGATCGCGATCAAATACACTCGTTGAATCACCAACGTGTAATCTCGCTGAGCCACGATTGAGTAATCTCGTTGAGCCACAATCGAGTAATGTCGTTGCCGTCGATCCGCAAACTAATGCAGATAATAAATTCAATTCTAATGGGTTACAAACAAGTAACTTTGTTGCTATTAAATCTCAACAAAGACTTACTAAACCAAAATCGCGTATAACCTTAAAGCAATCATCTTTATCTGAGTTTTTCCAGCTGGAAAATAAATTTGAAAATAATCACCTAAACATTGCAAAAGAAGTTAATATCTCGCGCCAAAGTCAAGTTTTTAAACCACCTGAAAAAAAGCAATCGTCCAGAAAGCGAAAGGATATTCGAGAAGAAACAACAGGAAAATATATTAAACAAGGTCAGAATCAGCAAATTACTTTGACAATGTGCTTTGAAAACGATATGAACTTTTATGCGCAATTTAAAACCGCCAAAGAAAAAAGTAATACCAGTAAAAGTAGTGAAAAAAGTAATAATCGTAAAAATAGTGAAAAGAGAAATAATCGTGGCAAAAAAGCAAAATCAGTTCGAACTAATAATGCAATAGATAAAAATGAAAAAATTCAAAAGAAATTGGTAGATTTCTTTCTTCTGAAAAATCAGCATACAACTCATAGTCAAAATACTATAATTGCATCGGAACTTCAAAGTCTGTTGTATAATATTCATTTATTTGCATTTCCATTTATGAGAGTTTTGATCAAATTTTTAAAATATAACAGATCTTCCTAATTCAGCTTCTGTGAATGGCTCAACAGCTTTAGATGTTAATCATTTAGAATCGGATTTGTCACAAGATTGTTATAATAATTCTCCTGATGAACTAAATGGAGCAAAATCTACAAGTTGTTTTTTGATCTCAAAAAAGTGTCTTGCTGGCTCTAACACGTCTTATTGGCAAAATCGGGATGACCAGCAAATGCCTCTGAGTAATTCCTATCACTTATCAAATCTCTCTGTGCTAACGGATGATTCTTTTATAACAACATCTTCACGTGTAAGTTCTGAAATTACGCCAGATAGACATTCTGGAAAGTCGTCAAAAAATAACCTTTGTGATAGCGTTGTACATGACAGAGAGCTTAAAAAGGGCTCATCAGCTCAAATTAGTAATATTCCATTACAAAGCAATGTGAATCCTTTATTGGAAATGGATAGTAAGCGTTTAGTGTCAATGCAAAACAATCTGTCTTTAGTAGCGGCATCAAAGTCAGTGAGTCGAAGAATGGCATCCCCAGATAAACATTGTAAAGGTGCGGAACATAAGGATATTATAGTGGTTATTGATGATGATGACGATGATGATTTGTGGTTTAACGTTGATTGCGATACAGCTAAAACAAATGGTGGTGCCTCTACGAAGATTATTCATGAATCACAGAGAAGTCATAATAATTTTCATAATGGTGATGATCTCGATTCCACTACACCTTCTCGTAACACTAATGTTATGGTACAAAATGAGATCTTGGATGTTAGTTCCACGCAAAAAACATTATTCCTTTCTGGTATTTCTCCATCATCACTCCTTTCAGAATCACGAATTATTGGTGAAATGGATCATCAAAATGTGGCAAAAGAGATACTTAGATCTCGAACACCAGATTCCATTCAAGAAAGGTTGATTAAGTCTGGTATCTCACCTGCACCTTCGCCGCCATCATTGCTTTCTCAAGATGCACTTGAGCAAATATCGTTGTCTACTTTGCCTTCACTAGATATATGCACTCTTCAATTTGATGATTTCGATGACTTATTGTCATAGAATATTATCTAATATAGATATTGGAAGAAGGTAATAATTTTCTATTTTGCCTTCCTAATTGGATGCTAATGATAAATTATAAAAAGATTAAAAGAATCTTCCATAGAATGACGTAAACTGTTTTTTAGGATTTTTTTTTTTTTTTTTTAAGAAAAAAAGCAATAAATAAACATACAATATGTTGTGCCTCAGATGTTAAACATGGCTTATAATTTAGGCAGAAAATCTAGGTGACATTTAGCAAACTTATATTTTGGCTGTCCTGAATATGATGGTTATAACAAATTTACATTTGGGCACAACATATATCAATATAGTTTTTTGTTAATTTTGATCTGTTAAAGCATCCTAGATGATTTTTCATAAGTTATTAGTATAACTTATAATTATACATCCATTTTATGGATTTATCTGATGAAAGCAAGAAATAAGAGGTCGAGTTCATCATAGGTTAAAAATTTTAAACATCAGGATATTCCGAAGGTATACTACTATATTTGCGTAAAATAACCAGGGTGTTATTTTAAGACATGCAATTTAAAGAGAACTCAATTAATTTAACCGAAGATTTTTTAAAATAAGATCATAATTCGCACTCGGTTAAATTAATTATTAGCTCTTTTTAGATTACATGTTTCAAAATAACATGCCGGAAGTTATTTCATGAAAATACAGTAATGATACCAAACTCGAGTGTTTTATTTCTTACCCTAATTAAATAAATCTTATATGAATGGATTATTATCATTAATAGTTATACTACTAGCTTACGAAAAAATCATCTCGAAGCGGAAAACTAGCAATTCTTTCTGTTCTGATTAAAACAAATTACCAGCTTCAAGGGCATTTATTTTAAAAGTTAATTTTAGCCAACACAGTATATACAATATAGACATTTTTTATGCACATGGTTTGATGTTCCCCATAAATTGTCTCGATTGTTATAAAGATAACTGTAAATAAAGCGATTTATTAGTTTCCAGATTACACATTACGCTAAATAGTCGACTTATCGAAAATAATACCGATACCAAAGTATTATCCGTTTTTACAAAAATCAGCCTACTATAAAAAAGTAATTGACCAATCACGAGCAAGGCATTCTATAGCCAATCACTTTATAAAAGTGGATAATCGAACACAAACGATTGTCACACTTCAACCTGTCCAAAAAATGGATAACACTGATAAAGACGATGCGTCCTTTCCAGTGCCTACTGTTGCTACCCAGGCAGTACTCGTCAAGTCTACCTCTATGCCTGATAACGCTACAACTGTTATAGGTCCTGATTTTAACCAAAACCATTCTTTAAAAGACTTGCTTGAGAGCTACTCTCGAATCGGTTTCCAGGCAACCAGTGTTGGTCAAGCTATTAATGTCATCAATCAAATGGTTTTTATATAATTCAATTCTTTTTTTCAAAAAAAAAAGAGGAATGTTATAAAAACCATATAAGCATGAAACTCTTAATTTTAGCGTAATTGGCGTTTGTCTGATGATCCAATTTTACCGGATGAATCCGACGATTACAAACTTCCGGCCGTTCGTTCTTCTACAAAATGCAAGATTTTCCTCGGCTATACATCGAATCTTGTATCATCAGGACTCCGTGAAATTTTCCGTTTTTTGGTTCAACATTCCCTCGTGGACGTTGTCGTCACTACTGCTGGTGGTGTGGAAGAAGATTTTATAAAATGCTTGGGCCCTACATACGTGGGAGATTTCCATTTACCAGGCGCCCAATTAAGAAAACAGGGAATAAATCGGATCGGAAATTTGTTAGTACCTAATGAAAATTATTGCAAATTTGAAGATTGGGTTATACCAATTTTAGACCGTTTGTTAGAAGAGCAACAAAGCGAGGTATACATTTAGATGTTGAATTACTTCGGTTTTAAGTCTTACGAATTTGTTTATCAAGGGCATAATATGGTCGCCTTCGAAAATAATCCACCGCTTGGGTAAAGAAATCGATAATCCTGATTCAATTTACTATTGGGCATATAAAGTAATAAATATTTTTGTTAACTTAAATTGATTATCTTTTATACCTATTCTTAATATATATATGTATTTTAGAATAATATTCCCGTTTATTGCCCAGCTTTAACTGATGGCTCTTTGGGTGACATGATTTATTTTCATTCTTTTAAAAATCCCGGTTTAATTATCGATATAGTGTCAGACATTAGGTCAATAAATAATCAAGCTGTATTTGCTAAAAAAACTGGTATTATCATATTGGGTGGTGGTATAGTGAAGCATCATATATGCAATGCTAATCTTATGGTAAGTGATTTATCAAATGACTTATTTGATATGTTATAGTGAATATTTTCATTTATTTAATCTTTACATGAATAGAGAAATGGTGCAGATTATGCAGTTTATATAAATACTGGACAAGAATTTGACGGGAGCGATTCTGGTGCAAGACCCGATGAAGCTGTTAGTTGGGGTAAAATCAGAATGACTGCTGAACCTGTTAAGGTTAGAGTTTTTATATATCATGATTAAAAAAGATATTGTATTTTAATTCACTTTTTTTTTCTCATTAGGTTTATGCAGATGCAACAATTGTATTTCCAATGATTGTGGCAGAAACATTTGCCAAAGAAGTTTTATAAGTAATAAACAATATATTGCATATTTATTGTTTACTTTGATTTGATAATGGCTTTAAAAGTTAAAAATTGGTCTTAATCTGTATGTATACTTGCTGGCCAAACCCGGACAATTCTCAAACATCTAAAAAATAATTTTTATTTAAAAAAAATCAAATCAAACAAATAATTCTAAAATTTTATAAATATATATAAATATATTATCTATAGCTATAAAATTATACTTGATTTATTTAAACAATAATTATTAATAAAGTTTTTGAGTTATGAATTTGGTTAGACTTTTTGAATTTGTTCACTTTAAGTAAGGGTCTGGCCAAATTCATAACTCAAAAACTTTATTAATAATCATTGTTTAAATAAATCAAGTATAATTTTATAGCTATAGATAATATATTTATATATTTTTATAAAATTTTAAAATTATTTATTTGATTTGATTTTTTTCAAATAGCAATTATTTTTTAGAGGTTTGGAATTTGTTCGGGTTTGGTTAGCAAGTATATCTGTATACTATTTTAGACAAATTTTTTATAAATTTGTTTATAATTAAAATATTGCAGATATTAAAATAAATTATTGATAATTTTTAAATAATGTTTATTTAGTTGAGAATTTCTATTTATATACTAGTATATAAAATACTAGCATATATATAACTTAAAATTTTACTAATAAAACAATCTTTGAAGAAAAATCTTTGTGAAATTTTAGTATAAATTATACTCTTACTTTAATTCAACTTTAAGAAAACTAATATGTATATATACTAGTGTACATTTATAAATTTTTTATATAGTCATATTAAATAAAATTACAAAATTTAAGTAATTAAAATTGATTACAAAATTTGATATAAAAAATTTAAATTTTTGTATTACAGTATCAAACATTTACTATTTATTAGTAAAAACTTAAATTGCTATAATTTTTTTAAAACAAGTTAAATCAAAAAACTTAACAAAATTTCAATTAAACTACATTTCTGTTTAAAGATCTTTTTATTGTTTTATTTTAACTTAACCAGTTATATTAGTATTTTAAGATTTTGAAATTACTTTTGCAATTACATAAAATTACTTAATATTTAAGTCTAGCATTATTTAGTCACTTTAACAATACCTAAATGCAACTTTTTATACTACTTCAAATAGAAGTAGATTGTTTGTATAATTGTTTAAAATCTATAATAAAAAGTTTTTTTATAACAAGTTTTAATATTGTTTTATTGTTTTTTTAAAATTTTATTTTTTTTATCTATTTTTTCTTTTATTATTCTCTGATTTGTTTTTTTCTTATATAATAATTTTTTTTTTTTGACAGTCTTGCTGAGTTTTTTCATGTTTTTGTCCATTTTTTTAAATAATATTCTCAATATTTTTTAAGGTCACTGAACTTTAATCTTTTTCAGTTTATACTTTTAAACTTTTTAAAAGCAACTCATCACACTAATCCTACTAGGATCAAAAAGTTTTACTAGAATCTGTCAAGAATCAAATATGTAATATAAGTTTATATAGTATTTATAAGTATTAAACTTTCAGTCTCATATTATATCTTATAACTTTAGTTATTTCAAATCAGGTTCTAACTCATATTCTTTACTATGTGGCTTCTCAATTGTAGGTCACTTGTTATTTTAAGAAATAAGTCTGTTTATTAACATTTTAGGTCTTTGGTTCTATAATATTGCAGTTTTTTATTTTAGAAATATATCTTTACAATTGCTATTACTAGGATTTAAACTGACAGTCTTGTAATTTGTAACCTCAGAGCATAACTACTATATTATTAACCTGAGAAGTCAATATAGAGATTTTTCTTTTAAGTTTTTTTTTTATTTTACTTATTATTTTTTGTATTTTTTTCTATTTACTAGTTTTTTTATATTGGATTTTTATACTTATTTGTAAAACATATTCTAAGCTATTCTTGTTATAGTATTTGTAAACTATTGTTTTACTTTTGTAATAAAAATTTATGTTAGTCTTTTTTATATTTTTTAAAATTAGATTTTTGATTAATATTTTTTCTATTTTAATTTTTCTTATTTTTTTTTATAAAAAGTTATATAAAACATATATAAAAATATTTTTTGTTAAAGCTATAAAGTATTAACTAATACAAATTAAGTTTTTTTAATTAAAAAGTTTCAAGTGCTGCATTTGTTATTGTACTATTAATTAGCTTGTACTATAAGATTTTTTTCTTAAGCAATAATGTTAATACTTTATTAAAATTTTTAAAATTACATTTGCAATTATATAAATATTTCTAATAACAAAGTTTAGCATTATCTAACTATCTAATAATATCTAATTGCAATTTGTTACATTACTCTAAACTAAAATAAATTGCTTGTCTAACTACTTAAAGTTTATAATAAAAGAGTTTTTTATTTTCTATAACAAGTCTTAATATTGTCTTTTTAGTTTCTTTCTTAATTTAATTTTTTATTTTTTTTTTATTTTTTTTATTTTTTGCTAATTTGTTTTTTTTTATTTAATTTCCTCTTTTTTTAAGTTCTTCTTTTTATTATACTTAGTATTTTTATTTCTTTCTTATTTGTTAATCTTTTTACATCATATTCTTTAAACTTACTTGCAAAACATGTCTTAGACTGTTCTTACTACTATTTTTACAAAGTTGTAGTCTTCTTAGTACAATACAATCAAGTAACAAGATTACCTAGTACAGTGATTAACTATTGCAAATATATACAGAGTGAAAATAAGTAGTTTATTTTACTACTCAGTAGCAGGCAAACAGTTCAAAATAGTAACAGTATATAAATTAACTTTTTATTAACAATATATATGATGACAACCTTGCCTGTAAGAATTATCCTAAAGGAGAAATATCATACTTTATAATTAAAAGGTCATTATATCTGAGTTGAAGTATAAAAACTTAGAATTGACAAAGAATAGGAAAAGGTACTCTTTATATATCTTTTTATCTAATAGGAATAGTGGAATTTAAGTGACATCTCTTGATACTGTACTTAAGATAATAAAGGTTGTGCAAAGGCAAGTGGAGTTTGTACAGAAATAGTTGAAACAATGTTTATATGTATTTGTCATTTGTATTTGAAACACTTGGAGCTTGTGTCAAGGTACTTAAGTCTGTACAAGGACAGTTAGGATTATGCAAGAACATTTGGAGATTGTGTTAGAGATATTTAGAATTGTGCAAAGACACTTGAGAATTGTATTGAGGATACTTGAGATTCTTGTACTATGGTATTTGGCACAGTAAATTGTACTAGAATACATGAAACTTGTATAAAGGTATTTGGAATTTGTAAGACAATAGTGACATCATAGATGTTACTTAATGTTATATGTCTTTATCATATTTCTAACAGCCAATTAAGATTCTATTATTTAACTACTATATACTATAAAATAACTATGCTTATAATTAATAATAAATATAATATAAAATATAATAATAAATATAACAACTATTAATAATATAATATACTATATTATGCTAATAATCTACTTTGTAACACTATATTTGCAAACTATTATTTTAATTTTATACTTAAAAACTGCATTAATCTGTTTTATATTTTCTTTAAAATTAGGCTTTTAATTAATAGTTTTTTTATTTTTATTTTTTTTGATTATATTTTTCTAAAAAATATTATATATAGCATATATAAAGAAATCTAGATATTTTTTTTTTTAGTTTTTTTTAAGTTATTACAATAATTAATTTTTAGATTCTTTTTTAAAGATTTTTTTATTTGTTGCATAATATCAAGTAAGTTTATATTTTTTTATTTTATCTTGATTTACTTAACATTCTGTTATTATGTATATATGTAGTTTTCTTTTGTTAAGTTCTTTCAAGATTAGAAATTTATTTATTATGTATTTTATAAATGCACTTATTCTAAAACTACTTTTTGTTATATAATGCACTTTTTTAGTTGTCTTTAGTTTTTTTTTTTTTTTTTATTTATATAATATCAGATAGGAAAAATAATAATACATGAATATATCAATTGGATATAAATATATAAATAAAATATTCCTAAACTATACTATTGTTGCTATATATATTATGACATCTAGCGTGATATTAACCTTTAATTTTCTGTTTTAGTTAAATCTACTATTGTAATTATTAACTACAGAGGAGGGTAAAAGGAA